AATCATTCTTTAGAATCATTCATCTTTCTTTAGAGCAAGAGCTACTTTCACAATCTTTGCAATAGTGGTTATAAAATGAGTAATTTTATTTACTTAGAAAACATGTACTTTGTATGAGTACTGCTGATGTTTTGCTGACATACTATATGACAAATCATCTTCTCACACAACATGTTATAATTTCAAGGTTAAACTAGTTGATTTGAAGGGCTGTGGTTGTCATGATGTATCGTGTTTGATATGGGTCCCACGTGATGTAAAATACATTCTGTGTTTCCATTCAAGCACGTGCTTCATGATGAACACCGCCTTTGAAAGTTATGTTTTTAAAATGTTACTGAAATCAAAATGCATGTATTGAAATCAGAGGGACAGCCTCAATGAATCAAAAAACATGAAGCTTCAAAATAGTGGATGTTTCAGTTCATTTGGCAAGAACAGTTGCAGTTACCCTGTCTGTCTGGTACATACAATGTAGATGCTCTTAGACAATGCACAGACCTGATCAGTTTTTGGTTAAAATCTGTTAATATTAATTATCTAATTTGCATAATAATTCATAATTTTTGGCTCTTCCACCAATACCTCAAATTCTAATTACATTTCACAGATGCTCTGACATTGTGCAGATCTTATTAGTTTTATGTTAAAAGCTGTGCATATTAATTACTTGACTTGCATAATGATTAGCCAGTTTTCTGCTTTCCATCAACATCTTAAGTACTAATCATCTTATTTCAGTGAATCTTAGTACACATATACTCTTATTTGTTTTGAATTTAAATAGATCCATAATAATTACCTAAATTATTTTTTGGCTTTCCACCAACTTTTTAACATAATCATCATATTCAAATGAAACTTGGTATACAGTGTGAGGGAACAATGCACAGAACTGATTAGTTTTGGGTTGACAAAATAATTAACCAATTTTCCACCTCGTATTCATAAACCAATTATTGATTTTTAATAAGACTTAGTATATAAGTGTTGTGGGATATTGCTAAAGACCTGACCTAGTTTGGGATTGAAATGTTAGCATACTAATTGTCTAATTTGTATAATATGCATAATCATCACGTTTCATTGAAATTTGGTTCATAGATGTTCTGCGGTAATCCACAGACATGATTTAGTTTAACGTTGAAAACCATGCATATTGAGTATCTAATTAAATTCAGTTTTAAATTGAACTTAATAATATAGAATAATTTATAATTAAAACCACTGATGTAAAATCAAATTTATTTCCTGTGAGCATTATAAGCTTCAATTCACTGAATCACATTGTTTTCATGTTGTACATCTCAAATACAATGTAGCAGCCAAATATTAGTTGCCGAGCTACTTGTTTGAAAGAATAATCTTAAATTTTGAATTAATTTGTAATATGCCACCAGTACTCTCAGCACAAAGGACTTAATTTGTATTTTGCCAAAATATTGTGAAAATGTAAGAATAATAATTCAACAGCTAATAAAATATACGATGACCAAAAATAAATTGTTCAGGAATAGATCTATGTTTTGACACTGTGGAAATGTTTGTTCATTTAAAGAGGGGATGCCATCACCTGCGCATATGGCAAACCTCCATAGTGTGTAGTTGTTTACAAATGAAACAAGCATTTACCCTTGAGCTTTTGTGTTTTTAGCGTGCGTTGTGATCGTCGCTTGGGACTGCATGCAAAGTCCTCTCCACTTTAAATTCTGGTAAATCTTACTATCACATTGTCACAAATGGGCTTCTGCCTGAATTCACCCTTCTAAGGTATTTTGAAACCATTCCTTATGTTAAATTTGAAACATAGTAGGACACAATATTTGTATCCAGTAATACATGTACCATACCAAAGACACTTGGGCTGTGATGTGAAATCAACCTTAATATCATACTTTTAAGAGCATTGTCAGTTGCCACTTGTTGTATAAACTCCTTCAATACTGGCTTATCACAGAATGACAAAACTCTAAAACTAAAATTGTTATCATTATTATTGTGATGTTTAATGCGACCTTCGTATATCCTTGATATACAACACTGCATGTTAGGGTAAAACTGCTCAGATGTAAAGGTATATTGTCTCTGCTGTTTAATTAAAAGTCAAATTACAGCATTCATGAGTAATGCTTGATGAATCCTGATTGGTTTTGCTGCTCAGATACTAAATGATTTGTTGTCTCAATCATCTAGTCATGTCGAGCATTGCTGTTTGAAAATATGCTTCAGATGCTTGCTACACTTAACCTAGAAAGTATGATTCACTCAGATGCAGTAGCAACATTAGCAAACAAGTTATAAAAGGGCGAAGAGCAAAATGGCTTTACAAGAAACTAATCATAAGTTGGGTGTGTGCATCACAGACCAATCTTTACCATTGAATTTTGATTTTGTTGTGCGATATCTCTTTCATCAGAAAATCTCATTTGTGATTCAGTAACTGGATAACTTTCACCTGAAATGATGAGAACTCAATCACTAAATAATCTATATGACAGTGTTTGGCAAAAAGTTTGTTATAATGGCTGTCATTTGATTAAATAGTTTGACAATGTGTACTTTATACGAAATATAGGAGACAATACATAATGGCACAACATAGTTGGGGTTATTGTTAGTTGCTACTTTATAAAAGTAATGTAAATGTAATTTTTATGTTTTATAATACTCAGATCTTGTTGACTATGTTTTTTATTAACAATAAACACTAGAACTGATCACTTCATTTGAGAGTGTCTGATGTGAAAATGTAGACTGGCCCAGAGAGGGCAATTTTATAATATTTTTTTCTTAAATTACGACGACTGGTCTATTTTGAGGCTATTCATTGTTATTAATTATTCGTGATATGCAGTCTGTGATGTTATGAAACCCTGGACAGGGACACTTCCAAAGTAAGAAAATATTCATGTGTTGCGCAAATGATTCTATGCGTCATGCCACGCATGCGTTATAGTTACATGGAAGAGGTCAGATCGAAAGCTGCCTTTCTTATTGGTTGGCAGCTTACGAGTCATTCTATCCATTAGCATATTTTTCACCACAAAAACATGGTGACAACTATAGAGGGTGCAGCAGAACAGACCAGTCGTGTTAATTTTGCATCAACGCAGAAGTTTCTACAAACTGGTTTTAAGGGAATTATCATGTAAAACAATAAAATTGCCTTGACTGGCCCAGTCTTGTGAAAATGATGTGATTGTGACAGTTTAGAATTTCTCACAGTCCTAACTTCAATCACACCTAAATCATAATAAATAATAGTTTCTGATTTTTCAATCCTCTTGATTCGTGTTCTTGATTACTATTTTGTCTTGTTTTTGTTTTCCCCTCCGACAGACATGGATTGCTTCTCCGTAGCACACACCTGGGTTCACCCGTTAAATGTGCAGAACACAAATCGTGGTCATCATCATCTGACGAGGAATCTGATTATGATGGTCTTGATTCACCCAAGTTTTACTCTCTGACCAGAAAGGAAACATCAGTGTGAAATCTTCCAGCGGTTCCATCTCCCACCATGTAGCTACAATCGGTGTATTTATTTCTGTCACTATGGTACTGAATGCTTGTGATTCGTATTCCCTGCATTGTATTGTATTGTGAAACAGATTCTGTGCAAAAGACATTGATTTATTTTGCCATTAACACACGCCTGTTGTTCAACCTCATTTATCCAAATTTCTGTATTTAAACTTTTCATATTACTATGTGGTTTGTGGTGTCAATAATATATAAACACAAATAGCTCCATCTCCAGGATAATTGAGGTCTAATTGCAATCTTAACATCGTAATTCTGTCTATGCAGGTCAGATGTATATTTTTGTTATATTCTAATGTGTCATCCTTAGAATGTAATACTGTAAATGTTTTTTTTTTTTTTCATTGAATTATCATTGTACAATGTTTTTATTCTGATTACCGTAATGTACAGAGTGTATGCAAACTCTTTCCTATACAAGTCATTTCTGAAATAAAGGTAGTTCTGTATGTCATTATGATTAAAGCTATAACATAAATGCATGCAAGTATATTTGCATTTACCAAAAATAGCTTTATTCAACAACTTCTAGTTTATCTCTGTTGTACAGTAGCTTGTGAAATTATTCGAAAAGATTCAGCTGTGCGTTTCAAAAATTATACTTTTCTTCCAAAATGTATTCCGACTGTGGTCTTCTCTTGTTATAAATTAATTGTAATATATTTCAAATGATGGTCAAAATAAATATATTATTTCTCATTGGTGCTAATTTTCATTACATGCATAGGTGATGGGTTTGTATGGACTTGGTGTGTAACATCTGTACAATATGGCACTATTCAACCCATGCTTGCAGCCCTGCATAATTGATATATATCATAATATGATAATTTATTTTTTAAATTAAAAGTATTATATTCTATGATATCATGCAGTTCCATGAAGAGCAGATTTAGTTCAGGATTGTTGACCTGATGAACATATATTTCCAGTTTCATGTTAGTGCCATAGTAACTTGGATGCTAGTTTCCATAATTGTGGCCAATTAGATGTTATTAGGGTAATTTAAGAAGTGTGCATAACTTGTAGAATTGGTACCGGTAGTTACTGTTTATTTGTACATCAAAGGCAATTCATACCCATAATTGTTCACAATTGTGGTTACACAAAAACATATTCTCTGAATTGCCGGTAATTATTACATTGAATGGTAATTAATTCTGTACATACATTTTATGATAATGTTGTAGCAAAAACTAATACTAAGCTAGGCAAGTGTGCATGTCTTATGTGTAATTAGTTACTGAACTACTCTTGTATTTAAAAATAAAACACTTTCATATCATACAAATGTTTGCCTTGAATCTCTACGCTGCATAGCATTGATGGTCAATTTGACCGTAAATTTCCTAGTTGATATTGAAAATGCTGCCATCGTAAGCATCTGATGATCGTGTGATTAAGGGTGTATTTCCTGTATAAATGGAGAATATTTTATTTCAATGGCTCAGATTTGACCAGCTGATAGTAAATAACTCTTGAATACATTTAGATGGCTAACTATCTATGATATGCATTTATCGCAGAGTTCTGTTTACCTTGGAACGTCCATGGATTAAATCCAGTATTTCTGTCATACAAATTTTATTATGTAAATGCATGTACTGGTGAAGGTGGTTTATAGCTGTCTGTGCCATTTTATTTATTCAAATTAAGAATTCATTATACTTTTAGAAATGTTAATATGATCGCTGTGGATGAGAGTACATGATTGCATACCAAAGTTAAACGTATTTATGAACTTGATTTGTCACATTTCTATGAAAGTAATTTTTGTACCCTTAAACTTGGTTATAAACTAAATACATGCATTTGAAAAAGTGGCATGTCTTCAGAATTGCTTTTTTAATTTGAAATTGAAGCACTTGCAAACGCATAGAGTCCATCCCTCAATGTAGTGCTTTATTTTTTTACTATTCATAGTTGCGGTATAGATTGTAACATTTTAAAATAATTCAAAGATACTGCAAAGATTTTTTCTCTAAAAATATAATTGAACACAACTATTGTGTTCCCTGATAATTTAAATAAAGTGTATTATAACGAATTAAATGTGTAATCTATTGACATGTTACATGTGTATTATTGTACCTGGGTAATATCAGTGTAAGAATATGTGCTTTGCTAATTCAATTTCTCTTTAATACTCTTGGTGCAACAAATAAATTTGCTTTATTCTCATAAATTGCAATGGCAGTTGAATTCAACAGAGTGCAGCAAAAATGTTTCAGTGTTCGACCAATAGAAAGCTCATGTTTCAGTTTGAATTATGAAGGTTTATAAATATTTAGAAAGATGAAAGAAATGCCTTTGCTGAAAGTAAACCAAACTACCCAGGAGAAAATTTTATAATTTGGTGGTATCATTTTTATTACCCTATCGGTAATCATAAAAGCCCATGCCCTCCCTGTACCTCTTGAATAAAAAATAAAATGAATTTGACACTATCAGCAAGCAGATTCGTTGTCTTGCAGCGACTAACGCCTGGGCGAAAAGACCAAAACCGGACTGATTTTCGTCCTAAAAAAGTTCACAAATAGAAAGTAGACGTAGAACCAAATTTTGGAATGTAAATCACTGCAGCAATGAAGATAAAAAAAAATCAGTGATAATAACAGAGGGTGCAAGGAACTACATTACAAAACGTATTCTAGCATGGTGTACAGGTCTGAATATACTACGGTGTATATTTATTTATAATCTGCATTATCAGCAAAGATAATTTTGTTTTTTCTGATTATCTAGCACCCTTGGTGCATTTAGTCTTTGAAATGTGTGCTTGATCATTTACTTCTGACTGCTGTGTCAGTGAACAGTCAGTTGGCTGGATGGTTTGCGGCAAGGGGTGATACAAGGACTTTTATCATAAGGCAAACATAATGAAAGGGGTTTGTTTACATGGAAAACTTACTGCAAGAGGGTCTGATTATCAGCTGGGCACAAGACAACTGCAAAGCTGGGTGTGAACCAATCATAATTCATAGCCTACAGATTAAAGAATTGAAACTGCCCAATGGGGATTCAGAGTTTTGAATACATTGCTTGCAGAGTGTTGACTTTTGAGATGTACAGGTTTACTCCAGACTGTGGACAGTCCTAATTTGTTAGTATACTAAATCAGCAAACGCCAAAGTTGTTTACAAGAAAGGAAATTTGCATTTTAGCAAACAAAGGCATTTCTTGACCTTCCATGATTTAATATACTAACAAATTAAACCAGCTGACTGTCGAGTTTACTCCTACTCTTTTAGAATTCAAGGTCTAAAATAGTTAGTGTGTAAATTTGTTTTGAGTAGGACTTGATTTAATAAAATATTTTATAAACCACTAGAAAATTAATGTTTCATTATAATATCCTGTATTTTTTTTTGTCAGGATAGCAGGTTATTAGGAAAGTATAAAACGGTCAATATTATTGGTCAAAGTGATCACATTATTGTTTGATGAATATAGCTTGTTTCTTGCCTTTGACATAATTTTGTGTTATTGGTCTTGGATGTTATAACCAGGACATTTGCGGACTATAAATTGGCACAATTTGCATTCAGGCTCAGTTTCAACAAGTTTTTCTCGTCCGGGATAACAAAACAGCTATTGTCTTTGGCTTCAACAATTATCATGAATTGGCACCCACCTCAGGCAAGGCCAATAACTACACTTTACACTATTAAATTAGCCATATACATGTTATTGTACAGGGATTCTGAAACAGCTGCATGCGCGTTTACATACTGGTAATTGATATGGATAACCTTTGTTGCTAGGTCACTTAGTGGTATCGACAGTCACTAGCATATCTCCAACTGACACCACAGTTATTTAAAAAACAATTAGACGTTTACATGTACCCGAAATGACCAATATTAGCAGCACGACAATTTTCCAACCGTTTCCCCTGTTCATACAACAACTTTACCCCCCCCCCCGCCTCCAGTTCTCTTTTCGGAGAATTTGGTGGCCCTGAAAGGGCGTTTGGCTTGTGTGTGCTTTTAACAAAAATTAAGCTCGCTCGCCAAGAATACGCCGGGCCAGTTTGATAGCACACACGTTTGTGTCTTCAAAGAGACCAACTAAGTAAGCTTCACTAGCTTCTTGTAGCGCCATTACAGCTGAACTTTGGAAACGGAGATCAGTCTTGAAATCCTGCGCGATTTCAGGGACGAGACGCTGGAATGGAAGTTTACAAATCAAGAGCTCTGAGCTTTTCTGGTCTGCAACGATGGGGTTTCTTCACTCTTCCAGTTGCTGGAGCACTCATACGAGCAGCTTTGGTCGCCAACTGCTTGCGTGGAGCCTTTCCATCGGTAGATTTACGTGCTGTTTGCTTGGTACGAGCCATTTTGAGATACAAGTTCAACTGGATGACGACAGAGAAAATAACATTTCGATTTCGGCGCCAGAATATTTATACCCTTGTTCCAGACCTCCCATTGGTTAAATGCTGCAGCTATTATGCTATGTAATTAGCCAGTTAACTCGCTTTGCGATTGGTCAAAATTAACATTCTATGATTGGCTGATGCTTTTCTTCGTGTATCCCTTTTTAACACTAAGCTCGGTACTTCCGGTATTTATTTACCGCCCTTTTAAACTTTGGTAATCGGCGATCAAACGCATAGTTTGTTATAAATCACCTTTAAGAGGTAGATTTCTATGATAGGTAAGTATGCTTTTGATGTCTTAGTCGCAAACTGTGGGCAAAATAAACTTTAACGCCCAACAGCATCTTATGCTCAACTTCGCCGACCATGCCGTGGGTTTTAAAAAACATGTGATCGAAGCGTGAAATGATACCCTATTCAGGTGCAGATTTCTTGGCAGTTTTTGTGACGATTGTAATGCACTATTCCGGATCTAGGAAGCTTGTCATATTTAAATGAAGTTATCCACTATTTACTTTTATATAACGCGACTTTATGATTGCTGTAAACACAACTTTAGTAGTGTCCAGTATACGTGGATATCTTCCTGTTCTGTGCTTCCAACATGGCCGTCACTTAGTTGGCGTTCACCAATTTGCACCCTATTGTTGTTTATATACCATTCCGATCACTTTCCCCGCGTTTTAAATTTTTAAACCAAGTCAGTAATAAACTTAGACAGTTTCGCGTTGCTGTTGGCAAATTAAGCATTCACGTGTTTCCTCTCGATGACTGCTCTTCTGGTGAACTTAGTATCTACATGGCTTCCTGCCCAGGCCACTGTAAGATCGATTGTCTATTCTCTTTCTCGCGTGGTCATTTTTGAGGAAAAAAATAATTTTGTTTCTGACAACTCTAGCTACCCATATTTTGTATGAAACGCAAACATTTATTTTATGCAAATTAGCCATGTTCCACCCACAAAAATCATTTTGTTGATTTTCTCCTTTGATTTTAATAGTGGTAGACTCAGAGAAAATTCCTTATTTCGCCTAATGTAAACGCGTTAATTATTCACTGGTTTTTAATTTTGCTATTTTCGCTGGCAAGTTAGATTTGCTAAATTAATTCCATGCAAACATGTAAAATGACAATAGAACTCATTGTTTAGAGTTTAGACACTTTTAAATAATACCGTGAAATACTTTATTTTCGCTTGGAATTAATTTTCACTGAAGGAGTGATTCAGTGAAAATAAAATCCAGCTAAAATAAAGTATTTTACAGTAGTTTATGCCAGACAATGTGACTTGTTTCTGATTTTCAATGTTTTCAACAAAAAAATTACATCTTATTAGAAACATTAGGAGTAGGCACTTCACGTGAAAAAAGGAAAATCTTTTATTATTTTGGATGGAAATTGAACAGTGTTTAAGTTATCTGACTGGCTCATTTGCATGTGAGGGTGGTGTGTTCTTAGTTGCATTTGTTCAGCCATTAGTGGGAGTACATTAAAATGTTTCTGGGGAGTTTTATCACATAGAATAGTGCACCACACACCATGGAAATCAATGAGCAAGGTTCAGCAATTATGAAAATTTGCTACAGTGAGTACTCTTCAAAGTGCGGTGGTCGCCGCGCAGCGCGTGTTCGAATTTCATTTAAATAAACAATGTATTTTACATGTGTTGTATACTTCGCTATGAGTCCTATATCGAACAGGACGCGGCACGACGACTGCCGCTCTTTAACTGAATAAGCATAGTACATGTACATTTACCATGTCTGAAATTGACACACAATTCTGGGCATAATAACCAAGGAGGCTCTCATACTAATTAAAATTATAAATACATTGACTTGTATGTTTTTAGTAATGCTAATTTTGTTTCATTTCAGGAACTGTCGACACTGCTGTGGATATGGCCATTGATGCATCAAAAATAACACCATTTAGTGGTAATCAAAAACAGCACGTTCCTGTTAAATTAGAAATCAAATCTGAACATAATGACGACAACACTCCTATCACACGTAAAATAGGTGTTCGCAGGTATAACTTCCGGTGTAAATATTGTTGGGTCTCCACAACAACAAAACCGGCTTTGGACATCCACATGCAGCTACATACACAAGGTCAAGATGTCCCCAAAAAATATGGAGTTTTTCGATTCCGTTGTGACAAGTGTCCATCTTATGGTGTTTACAGAAGGTCTCATGTTGAGCGACATGCAAAACATCATGAATTACTGGAAAGTAAGAACTGGGGAGAGATGAATGTGGAGAATGGTGTAGAGTTTTTCTCGTGTAATTTCTGCAACTATCAAACTCGAAGAATTTTTAATCTGGTCAAGCATGTTCCCTGCTGCAAAGTTTTTAAATCCAACAAAAAGAAAAAGAAGGTAGCCATACAAGCAATAAAGCCCAAAAAATCAGGTGAATATTCAAATTTTCATGGGATTTTGAGCCAAATTTAAATTTTTCATTACTGAACATGTCATAATATGACTTTATTTGACCATGGACACAGCTCTGTTATTAACCTGGTGTTAGCACTACTAATAGAGAACACAATGATAGAGTGAATATGTCATTGTCGCCAGGGATTTCATTAATGCCATGGCCACATTCTGCTTCCCGGAACTATATTTAAGAGCCACTTCAATTTTTGGAAAATTAAGGACGTCAAATTTATGATAAAGATACACTGAGTATATTCGCCAATTCCCCTTTCTCATGACATAATCCCTGATCACCAAGCAACAATTTCAGCTTGAAGTCAGAGTGGATTATTGTAAGCATCATGTGACCATGATTTATCAAATTTACATCACGTTAACGATTTGTAACAAATTGTTGAGTTTTTGACTAATCTGCTATATTATATATGGTGATGTGACCTCATTAAATATGCATAAATGTCATATCTGAAAATGGAGGCATTCAATCCATGCTGTGTTGAAGACACTGGTCTCATCAACACCATATATGGTCATGTGACCTCATTAAAATGCGTAAATATCAAATCTGGAGTACTATTGCAGATAGACTTTCAACCAGTGCTTTATTGAAGACATGGCTCATGATCTGATCAACCAGATATATGGTCATGTGACGTCATTAAAATGCATAAATAAACTGAAACACAATTGCAGATAGATCCATTCAGCCAGTGCTTTATTAGAAACATTTGGTTTATCATCGGATCTAAATATTTAATCACCATATACAGTGTTCTCCCCAAAGCGTTTTAGCGTAGCGGGGCCGCTACTCCATTATTTATGCCGCTACTCTGAGAGATTGCCCGCTACTCTGTGGCATTTCCTGTTACTCTTTCTTTTAGCTTGTTAATACACGTGCGAATCTGTTAGTCAGCGTCCGGTACTGTGAGCCAAATCAGGTGTGAATGGAAACATGTCAGTGCTTACGCAAAGACAATGGACTAATACAGCTTCGTACTTCGACAATAAACACTTTCGCCCTATTTAATTGGGGTAATAGCGAGTATTTTCTCAGTAGCATATTTGGCTGGAAGAAGCAACGATGTCAAACAGCAGAAATATTACGTTGTGGTTCCGCGTAGAACGCCCTGCTGGGCCCCTGGTTGCGAGCGATAAACCCACCAGCAACGCGGTCACCGGTACCCCTGTCGGCAGTGGTACTAAACGTGTCCAAGATGATGTTACAACGAAA